GGGGGGGCCGTTGGGGATTCCCGGGGGGGATCCGCGGAACCTCGTTTTTCGCATACAGTCACACACTTCGTGCTCTTCGACCTCCCAGAACTCCATTCCCGGGCCACATTCTGAATGCCCGGAGCCAACTGTAGGCCACTTCGTGCTCTTCGACTTCCCAGAACTCCATTCCCGGGCCACATTTTGGATGCCCGGAGCCAACTGTAGGCCACTTCGTGCTCTTCGAGTTCCCAGAACTCCATTCCCGGGCCACATTTTGGATGCCCGGAGCCAACTGTAGGCCACTTCGTGCTCTTCGAGTTCCCAGAACTCCATTCCCGGGCCACATTTTGAATGCCCGGAGCCAACTGTAGGCCACTTCGTGATCTTCGAGTTCCCAGAATTCCATTCCTGGGCATGATTTTGAATGCCCGGAGCCAACTGTAGGCCACTTCGTGTTCTTCGAGTTCCCAGAATTCCATTCCCGGGCCACATTTTGAATGCTGAGGCAGGCTGAGGCTGAGGCTGAGGCAGGCTGAGGCTGAGGCAGGCTGAGGCTGAGGCTGGCTGAGGCAGGCTGAGGCTGAGGCTGCAGGCTGAGGCTGAGGCAGGCTGAGGCTGAGGCTGAGGCTGAGGCAGGCTGAGGCTGAGGCAGGCTGAGGCTGAGGCAGGCTGATGCAGGCTGGCTGAGGCAGGCTGAGGCTGAGGCCGAGGCTGAAGGCAGACTGAGGCTGAGGCTGAAGCAGGCTGAGGCTGAGGCTGAGGCTGAGGCTGAGGCTGAGGCTGAGGCAGGCTGAGGCTGAGGCAGGCTGAGGCTGAGGCTGAGGCTGATGCAGGCTGAGGCTGAGGCAGGCTGAGGCTGAGGCGAGGCTGAAGGCAGAGGCTGAGGCTGAGGCTGAAGGCAGGCTGAGGCTGAGGCTGAGGCAGGCTGAGGCTGAGGCTGAGGCAGGCTGAGGCTGAGGCTGAGGCAGGCTGATGCTGAGGAGGCTGAGGCTGAGGCTGAGGCTGAGGCTGAGGCTGCAGGCTGAGGCTGAGGCAGGCTGAGGCTGAGGCCGAGGCTGAAGGCAGACTGAGGCTGAGGCTGAAGCAGCTGAGGCTGAGGCTGAGGCAGGCTGAGGCTGAGGCTGCAGGCTGATGCTGAGGCAGGCTGAGGCTGAGGCTGAGGCTGATGCAGGCTGAGGCTGAGGCAGGCTGAGGCCTGCAGGCTGAGGCTGAGGCTGGCTGAGGCTGAGGCTGAGGCTGAGGCAGGCTGAGGCTGAGGCTGAGGCTGCAGGCTGAGGCTGCAGGCTGAGGCAGGAGGCAGGCTGAGGCCGAGGCTGAAGGCAGACTGAGGCTGAGGCTGAAGCAGGCTGAGGCTGAGGCTGCAGGCTGAGGCTGAGGCAGGCTGATGCTGAGGCAGGCTGAGGCTGAGGCTGAGGCTGATGCAGGCTGAGGCTGAGGCAGGCTGAGGCTGAGGCGAGGCTGAAGGCAGACTGAGGCTGAGGCTGAAGCAGGCTGAGGCTGAGGCTGAGGCAGGCTGAGGCTGAGGCTGCAGGCTGAGGCTGAGGCAGGCTGAGGCTGAGGCTGAGGCAGGCTGAGGCTGAGGCTGAGGCAGGCTGAGGCTGAGGCTGAGGCTGCTGCAGGCTGAGGCTGGCTGCAGGCTGGCTGAGGCTGAGGCTGAGGCTGGCTGAGGCTGAGGCAGGCTGATGCTGAGGCAGGCTGAGGCTGAGGCTGAGGCTGATGCAGGCTGAGGCTGAGGCAGGCTGAGGCTGAGGCCGAGGCTGAAGGCAGACTGATTCTGAGGCTGAAGCAGGCTGAGGCTGAGGCTGAGGCAGGCTGAGGCTGAGGCAGGCTGAGGCTAAGGCTGAGGCAGGCTGAGGCTGAGGCTGTGACTGCGACTGCCGTTGCCACTGCGACTGTCATCGCGAATGCGACTACGACTGCGAGAACAGCGGAATTCTACAACTGGATTCTCATCCGAATCTTAAGGGGAATGCTTCCAGATATGCTCCTACACATCGATGTTAGGTTGCTTTGCCGGGATAATTTGGGAAAAAGAACCAAAACCAAAAGCCATATCGTCTGGCACGCCATGTACCCTTTTGATAAATCAAAAGGGGGCGGCGGATCTATCGGTGTTCGGCCCTTCCCGCCACCGTGCCTGGGTGATGGGTCGGAGGCCTCATGGGTGTTGGTTGGGCTCTGGTGGTTGGCCTCTCGGGGGCCTCTGGGACGCAGTTTTGAAGCCTCTTGGGGGCCGTGTTGGGGGCCTCTCGGGGCCTCTTGGGAGCCTCTGGGGGCTTCTCGAGGTGCCTCTTGGCCGGTGCCCCTTGGGGGCCCCTGGGGGCCTCTTGGGGGCCTCTTGGGGCCTCCTGGAGGCCTTTCGGGGCTGAAGGCTGGATTTTTCTGTTTCTAGCTTCCTTGGGCGTCATCTTGGGGCTGTTTTGGGGTTCTCTTGGGCCGTCTTGGGTGCCAATTAGTACCCTCGTGGGCCGTCTTGTGGCCCTCTTGGGCTCTTGTGAGCCTGTCTAGGTGGCGCTTTGGGCTGTCTGGGGACGATGTTGGGACCCTCTGGGGTAGTTCTGGACGCAACGTCGCACATGCGAGAACTGTACGTTTTCCGAAGAGAAAGGGACGATTTTCGTTTGTTGGGGCCCTCTTGGAGAGCCTCTTGAGGCTCTCTTGTTTTTTTTTGTCGCGGCCTCCGGGGCCATCTGGAGACCATTTTGACCGTTTTGGAACGGTCTTTCGGCGTTTCGAGGTCTGGCTGTGTAGGGGCGCCCTGGCGCCCCTGGCGCGCTCTTGGAGCGCCCCGGCATCGCCCCGGCATCGCCTTGGGTACTTTTCGTCCAGGGGTCCCCAGGGGCCACAACGCGCGCGCGACCCAGAAATATTGTTAACCTGTCACCGGAGTTCCTAGCACGCCTCCGGCGAATTTGAAAGAGCGTCTTCTGTGGGCGTTTGTGTGGATGTGGCGGGTGCGCCCGAAGGGCGCCTCCCCTCAGGTCGCCAGCGATCTCGACCCTCCCTCGAACGACGTTGGCGACGACGATGTTGACGACGACGTGCACTCGCACCTCGCGGGCGCCCATGCTTCAGCAATTCACTCGTGCAGAACCAGGGGCGAAGGATGAGGGTTCTTTTTGTGGCCTGTGACCGAGCGAGGTTTGAATCTACCGTCCCGCCCGCCCGCTCGCTTCTAATGTCCTTTCCATGCGTGTTTTGCTTACATCCCGAACCTCACCCCGTAAGCGAATCAGGCTTATATTTGATATTCCGCCCGCCCGCCCGCTTCTTGTCTCGCCCGCAACGGCCCGATAGTAGTGTCCCGCCCAACGCGTCCGACGCCTTGTCCCGCCTGCGTCGTCGTCGTCGTCGTCGTCGTCGTCGTCGTGGTCGTCGGCCGTCGGTCGTCAGGCTTCGTCGCCGTCTTCGTCATCGCTGTCGTTGTCCTCGTTGTCGTCGTCTCCGTCGCTTCGTCGTCGTCTTCATCAGCGTCAGCGTCAGCGTCGTCGTCGTCGTCCTTGACAGCGACATTGTCGCTGTTAGCGTCGTCAGCTTTGGGGCCGTTGGCCGGCGTGCGGGGAAGGGTGGGTTCGAACCCGTCCCGACTTTTTGAAGGGTTCTTGGGGTAGGGGCTATCGCTAGACGAGGATGGATCCCGGTTCCTGAGGAGGGGGTTGGATTCGACGGGGGGGGAGGGGTTTTGGTTTTGGGGAGGGGCGCTGTGGATTTTGCCAAGTTGATACCTCCCCAAGCATTTGACCAACAAAATTTGGGACAGTTTCGAATTCTTCGTTCAGTTGTAAATATGCACGCTTTCAAGCTGCCGCAAGTCCCACGCACATTCCCACGCTTTCAACTGTAAGCATAGACGTTCTGCTCTCAAGAGGTAGTTTTTTCAAGCATTCGGGGACAGATGGGTCGGAGGGGGAGGGAGTCGAGAGCGAGGAGAAAGAGAAGATGGGATGAATGGAATGAGGAAGGAGTGAAGACGGACCATGCAGGTTTTTACTGTTTTGTTGTTGTTCTTCGATGGTGGATTTGTTCCAGCTGTCGGCGAGGCATGCCGTATTCAGTTGGTTGGCCGGTCGGGGACGATTTGAGGCCAGAACGAGTATTGATTGCTGGTCGCATTTACAAGTGAGTTGCGTTTGAGGCGGTGCTGCGTGAATTGGAAGCATGAGCAACCGTATTACCGGCATGCGGCGATACATACAGTGGACCGACTTGATTTCTTTTCATGGCAGTTTGGCGAAAGGCGCTCTCTTGAACAAGGCCGCTCCCCCGACGCCCGGCCGCCGCTCCCGGCGAAGGGTGGAGTCCACCGGAGAGGTCTCGGAGCCGGCCTCGTCCCACCTCCTCCCCCCCCTCTCCCTGCCGGAGTCGGAAGCGAGCTGGCTGGGCTGAGTTGGCGACTCTTTTTGGCTGTGGTCCTTCACCACTTCTTCTGCCTCCGGCCGGATGTGGCTTAAGGCGACGTCTGGCCGGCTTTTTCAACACCTCTAACTACTTTCTCGGCCTCCAGCCGAGGGCGTCCACGGCAAAGGCACCGTGTCGCCAACAACCACAACAAGGGAGCTGTGAGGAGATTGCAGGGATGAAGGACGAAAGATGGAGGATGAGGCTGATGAGCGCCTTGACCTGTCTGCGTTCACAGACGGTGCCAGAGAGCTCCTTGGGCCACCTGCGTGCGAAGGGCTACTGGGCGCGGGACACCATGCCGAGGCAAGAGCCGTGAATGCATGTGTGAAAGCAGGAGGTTCGGTGTGCACTTGTGAGAAGATACGTAGTCCATTCCGGGCAACATTGCCAAACATTGTTTTTCTTTGAACTTGATGACGCTCTCCGACGGTAGAACTCCCGCTGCAATTTGGAGAAGGAATGGCGGCTTGGTCGCTTCGTCAAATATTCTCCCGCGCGTGGACAGCGTGCTCCTTCTTTATGCCTCCTCCCGTTCGTTTTCCTCCTTGCATTCCCTCCCCTCAGCTTCCTGACGCTGCTCTTTGCGCCCCGTCTGATATCACTCCGCGCGAGCTCAGGGCTTCATCGATGGCATCGAGCCGCGTGGCAGGGTCAACATCGAACAGGTCGACAGCTTCAAGGTCCCCCGCGCGAGGGCGGGATCTGCGGAAGAGGGGGTCAACGGACGACGTGGAACGGTGATCGTGGAACAGCTCGTGAGTCAAGACGCTTCGCGTTCACCGCCCGCATTCCAGTTCTCGGCAGAAGGGCCACGGACGGCTGCCAGATGGGGTGAGAACGTGCCGAACAAGCAACATACTGTCCCGCAGGTGTGTTTTGTGCCCCTTCCTGCCTTCCATCCCATCGCCGATCAGACTAGGTATGCCGTGTGTCTGATCGGCAGGTAGGTTGTCGGATTGTCAGCTCGTCATCATTATCAGCGGAATTGTGAACTCGAAGCTGGCTCCTTGGACCATTGTGGTGTTTTATCCACAGCACGCGACCAGAAATAGAAGAAGCAGTGGCCCAGCATTTACCCCAGGGTGCCTGACGACGGCACAAGGCGCGCCAAGAAGGGCCCGAGAGGCACCCCAGTGCCAAACGAGGGGCGACGTTGAGTCCGAGACGGCCTGGGAGGGCCTCTGAACGGCGCATGCGCGCGCATCGCCGTGTTGGACCCGAGCACCATCTGAGCAGGATCTCGTTCTCGGCCAGTTGGGGCCCCGCTTGGGATCCCAAGTTGAGCTCACCATCGCCTGAACAAACATCTCGACGGGGTCCCCAGGCAGCGTTTCAATGTGCACGCAGCAAAGACGACAGACGAGACCGAAAAGCGGCCGCGCGGGTTAAGGCGAATGTTCTTTACAAGTCAACATTATGGTTGTCTCTGGGGAGTTTCGGACTCGGCAGACTCAAGAGGCTCGCACCATTCCGCCGACCTCTGGAAGAGAATAGAAGCCAACATATTTCACCAGATCGAGTTGTAGTGGCTCTGTTTTTGTGCGAGTCCGAGGGCCATGGTGCTGTCGTCACTGGGTCTTCGCTCCCATGCATGCTTTCGTTTATTTGGCGTGTGTGTGCGTATGTGTGAAGTCTAGCATGGGACTCTATTGGGGTCTCTTGGGCTGTATTTGGAGTGTCGTGGGGCCGTCTTGGCGTCCTTTCGTGAATCTTGGAGCCTCGCTGGGAAGTGTTAGGGCCTTGTTTGTGGAACCGTTTAGGGTCTTTTTCCAAGGGTAGCTCTGAGCCTCTGGGGTCTTCTCGGAGCAGCATCTTGGGTAGATTCCCCAAACAGTGCTTGCAGTCAGGGGTTCTGATTCCTCTCGCTTCGCGAGGTGCACGTCCAGATTACGTACAGTCAAGTCGTTTTGGGGGTTCCCGGGAGTCTCGTGGGGGCGTCTTGGGCCGTCTTGGGGCGCTCTGTCGCCGTCTGGCACCTTTGGGGGCGGGGCTGGTGGCAATGTCGGAGCCACTTGAGCTGTTTTGGGGGCCGGTGTAGGCAATCGTTCGGCCTTTTGTGATGTTTTTAGGGCTGTCTGTCGGGGCCGAGGCTTCTTGGGGGCTTCTTGGGGCCCCTTGGGGACTTCTTTGGGGTCTCTTTGGGCTGCCTTGGGGGTGTCTTGAGCCGTATTGGGTGTGCTGCGCCGTTTGGCCCTTGCGGAGGCCGTATTGGGGGCCTCTCGTGGCCGCCGGGGGCTCTGTTGGGATCCTCTTGGGCCGTCTCGGGGACCCGTTGGGTCGTCTTGGGGACATCTGATTCCGGACGTGGATTCGATAGGCTTATGCCACATCCGCCGACCCCTTGTTCTCTTTAGGCCGAGGTACCGCTTATCAGGGCGGCTGGGGGAGCCGCGGGAAAGTCGGGGCGAGCTGGGCCGCAAATTGGCCCAAGGACGCTTTGAGACCGAGGGTGTATATTGAGGTGATTGCAGAATCTGTAGCTGACAGTTGTAGTGTTTTCCGCGCACGAGTGGGGAAACAAGCGAGAAACAACGTTCAGAGACGGCGGACAGATTTGGAAACACCAGAGGAAGGGTCCGCGAATAGCCTGCGGCCCATCCCGCCACCATGCCCGGGTTGTGAATGAGAGGCCTCTGGATTGTTTTTTGGGCTCTCATGGTAAATCTGTCGGGGGCCTGTTCAAAGCAGGTTTGGGTCGTCTTAGTTCGTTTTGGGGATCGTGTGGGGCGTCTCGGAACCTTTTGTTGAATCCGGGGTGCTTGTTGTGGACCTGTTTTAGGCTTGCTGGGGCCTCTTGGGGCCGCATTGGGCGTCTCTTGGAGCGTTTTGGGAGCGTCTTAGGGCCGAGGGCCCGAAATTTTCCGTTCGGGTCTCCCGTCTGGGCCCTTTGTTGGAGCTGTTTTTGGGGGGCTTCTTGGGCCGTCTTGGAAACCTCTGGATCTGTCTTGGGGCCCTCCTGGGCCGTCTTGCGAGCCTTTTGAGCTGCGTTTGGGCGATATTGGGCCCTTGTTGGGGCGTTTTGGAACGTCGGGAAAACGAAAACGCGAGAGGCCAAACAACCTTCCAAAGCCATGAAACAACTGTGATTTTTGCCTCTTGGTGCGCTCTTGGGCAGCTTCTTGGGCGCCTCTTGGGGCGTCTTGGCGGCCTTTTGGGTTCATCTGGAGCGTCTTGGAGCGATCTTCGGGCGTCTGGGGGCACTCGGGTGCCGTCTTGGGAGCCTCTTGGGAGGCGGCTCGGAGCTGGAAAGGGAATATGGGAGTGGCGGGCTCCCCCCGGTGAGTTCAGGGATGGGTCGCGCGCGGCCATGGGGGGGGGGGGTCAAATTCCTGGTTCGGGGTCCGGGGGGGGGGGGGGGGAGGATTATGGGGGGGGAACACTCTCACACGCCTAGAAACCCACAAGGGGTCGGCGGATTTCCCTTTAAGGCACTGGTCCCGTGCGCGGTCCCGGCGGATCCGTTCCCGTCCGTCGTCACACCACTTTTTCAAATAAAAGGCCCGCTGGCGGGCCCGGCGGGCCCGGCGGCCCAGTGCCAGTCCGTCGCCGCCACCCCGTTGCAACTGCCCCCCCCGCACTCGCATTGCATGGCACTCGCATTGCAATCGCATTGCGTTGCATTGTTTGGCATTGCGCTTCGCATGGCTTTGCAATGCGTTGCATTGCAATCGCATTGCATTGCAGTACAAACGCACTGCAATTGGATTGTAATCGCGCTGGAATCGCGTTGCAATCGCGCTGCAATCGCGTTGCAATCGCATTGCTTTGCATTGCTTGCATTGCGTTGCATTGCAGTGCTCTGCAGTGCTTTGCATTGCTTTGCATGCCTTTGCATTGCGGCTCCTCGCGTTGCATTCATCGGCTTAATTTGCATTGCGTTGCATGAGTTTGCATTGCATTGCATTGCGGTGCATGGCTTTGCGTTGTGTTGCATTGCGGTACATTGTTTTGCATTGTTTTGCATATATGTGCACGGTGTCGCGTTGCGTTGCGTTGTTTTGCGTTGCTTCACATTGTGATACATGGCTTTGCATTGCGGTGCGTTGCTTTACACTGCGTCGCACTGCGTTGCATTTGTTTGCATGACTGTGCATTGCTTTGCACTGCAGTGCGTTTGGTTGCGTTACATTGCGTTTCATTGCTTTATTGTGCATGCCTTTGATTTGCTTGGCATTGCATTGCGTTGCATTGCGATGTAATGCTATGTTTTGCTTTGCATGCTGGTGAGTAACTTTGCATATATTGGTTTTGCATTGCGGTGCATTGCGTGCATTGTTTTTCGTTGCGTTGCATTGCTGTGTATTTGCGTTGCATTGTTTTGCTTGGCACTGCTTTCCATTACTATCCATTGCTTTGCATTGCTTGCACCGCATCGATTGCACCACATGGATTGCACCACCTAAATGGCACCGCATATATTGCAACACTTCACTGTTCGGGGTCCACGCTGGCTACTAGTAGTGTTGGTAGGCTTCTTGGATTCTTTCGGAGGCCCGCTGCACCTCCGTCGGGCCGTAAGAGTGGAAACGCAACAACTTGGCCAACGCCAGGGCAAGGTTGACGCTTTGCGTATCTCCACCAGCCCACGCAGGACCGATGCGAAGGTGAGTTCTTGGGAAAAGGGAGATGTGCACGCAAGTAGACGGTCACACAAAGCGGCCAGCCATAGTGAACTTACAGAGCTCTTGGAACCTCTTGGAGCCATCCTAGAAAACACGTCGGGCCCGTTTAAAAGCCGTTGGGGTCCTCTCGGCGCTCTTTTGGGGCCCTCTTGGGGACCTTTCGGGCCCTCTTGGGGCCATCTTGTAGCCCATGAAATGAGGGGAGCCCGACAGATTGTCCCTTGGAGCCCTCTTGGGGCGCTCTTTGGCTGTATTGAACCTCCTCTGGCCCCCTCGGTGAGTTTTCTTGGGCGTTCTTGGGGCCATCTTGAGGCGTCGGAGGCCCCTGAGGAAGCGAGACGGCGAGAAAAGACCTTACGGCCGGTTCCGCCCACCCTGGAGTGGGATCTAGAGGACGGCCCGAGAAAGGTCGCGAATTCGTAAAGACTCGCACGCTTGGCGGACACTTTTATACGATGTCTTCCAGCGGAGGCGACCGGTGGCATCACGGCGGCATATCGCAGTGGCAGGGCCGCCATTCACAAAGTCATCATCCTCTTTTTGTTTTCTTGTTCTGTTTCACTCCTCCCCTCCCTTCTCTCGCCTCCCCGTCCTTCCCATCCCGCCCTCACTTCCCCTTCGTTTTCCCTCCTCGTCTTCCCTCCTTCCCTCCCTTCCGCCCTCCTGCCCCCTGCCTCCCTGTCTCCTCCATCCTCCCTCCATCGTCATTCCTCTTCATCCTCCCCCCTGCATTCTCCTTCCATCCTCCTTACTCCCGTTCATCCCTCCATCCTCCGTCTTCCCTCCTGCCTTCCTCCTCCTTCCTCCCTCCTCCTTCCTTCTTCCTCCTCCATCCTCCTTACTCCCCCATCCTCCTGCCGACTGCTTGTGCCGAGGGGCAGTTAGCGCTCTGGCGACCCCAGAGGCGAAATAGGAGGATGAATGGGTGCCGCGCAGACTGGGACGACGCCAAGCAGGATCATAGGCCCGCACTAATCGATCGGGTGTGACAGCGCGATGGAGGCGTGCACTGTATCGCCTGGTCAGTTCCGCCCAGGGTGCACAATCGTGTGCAGCAGTGCAGTAGGAACAAAAGCGGAGCGTAGCTGGCTGGCCTGTTGGAACGATGGATGGACGGTTGGACGGTTGGATGTAGAGGGGTGGATAGGTGGGTGGGCGGGTTGATGCAACGACATTGATTGACGATTGGATGTGTTTGGGTGGATTGAGTGGGATCGGCGCGAAATACTGCGGTTGAGTTGCCCGACAGGAGCACAACGGTGGCTTCCAGCTGGAGATAGACGGGAGAAAGGTGGACTTCGTTCCCGTGCCCGGGGGAGGCCTCCCCCCTCTCTTCCTAAGGCGTTTCGTAGTGGGTGGGCGGTACACGGGGCGGGAATTGCGGGTTGCAGAAAAGGTGCCCCTTGGTGCTCTGAGGATGCTTGCACGGCGAACTCTTCTTCACGCCCCCCCTTCTCCACCCCCCTTTCGTTGCCCCCCCCAACCAAGCACTGCCCGATCCCCCTTTCTCTCTCACTTGCTCTGCCCTGCCGCTCTTCCCATAGGTGTAAGCTGCTCTGAGATGTAATCCGCTTTACGACAGTTTGAGATGGGAGTTTTGGGTCACGATGTAGCCTCAAGTTCCCACCTTGTTATACATCGCACCAGAGATGCAGGGGCGTATGGTTGTGGGGTTCGCCCTTCAGAGTGGCACCTTTTCGGTGCCCACTGCCCAGGCCTCGCGTTCGTCCAAAGCAGTAGTGGAACTGTGGATCTTGGCCGTGGTGGTTTTGACCACGTGTGTGAGAAGATAGCCGCATGCCTGCCGCTGCAAGCGGTTTACACTCGGGTATTAGATGGGATTGCCCTATGATTCCGATCGGGAGTTATTCAGATTATGTCTAGCCTTGGTGCGGGATCTTCGACGTGCTCAATTTTCCATTGCCCCGCAGTCTGCTATTGTATGCTTCATGTCTACGGTTGCTGCTGCGCTTCATAATTTCTTGACAGGTGGTTGGGCCACTGTGCATGTGTAGCGAGTAGTCTCGGTTCTGGGCACTGCTTGAGGCCAGATCTCGACCCAGCCGCTTAAGAACACGATTGCAAGGAACGTGGCCCAGAATGTTCTCGGCAAGCTTCAGAGCTTTACAAAAGGTAGCGGGCTGTAAGAGAGGTGGATGAAGTTCGTAGGTCTGGCCTTCCCCGCCGGTCGTGGCACCGCTTCCCGCGTGGTCATCAGTTGGCACAGAGAGATAGGTCGTTTGACGGGGGAGTTTCTACAGGGGGGGGTGCTTTACAACCTTGCTGGAGTCAAAGTTGTGCAGGACCCAAGCCAGCCAGCCTCAATCGCCATGGCAAAAGACAGCTGGGCAGGTAGTCAATCGGGCCGCTGCTAGGAGCTCCACAGCTGGCCAAGCAGCAAGCGGTTCGACATATTTGGATGTGGGTTCACAAACGTGGTGCGTCAGGCAGGACACCAGCACATCCAGCAACGATGACCAGGCGAGCTGTATTGATCCTGGAAGCGGTGGAGCACGCAGTGGAACAACGAGGGAGTGGCGGCCGCCAAACCGAAGATCGGGATCAGCCTGAGCAGGCCAGGAAGTCAACCATGTATGAATTCGCGTTTTGGTTCGCTATGGGCCAAACTGGGGCCATGTCGGGGCAACGTTGGACGTCTTTGGGGCCCTCTTGAGGCCTTCTTGGGGCTCTCTTGGGGGCCCTGGGGGACATCTTGGAGGACATACATCAAAAGAGGGGGTCTTTTAGTAGCGGCCCCCTGTCGAGGCCCTCAGCATTGTCTCTTGCGGTTTTCTTGGGGCTGGGGACGTTCCTTTGGTATTCTTGGGGGCTCTTGGGCCCGTCTTGGAGCCCCATATGGGCCCCTCTCGGGGCTCTCTCGGGTCATCGTGGAGCCATTTGGGGCGCCAGAAACTCTTCGGAAGCGAATGGGCGAGAAGGCAAACCACATTGACGTTCCAAAGGTTTTGTTTGGGCCTCTTGAGGGCATCCTGGGCAGCCTCCGTTGCCACTTGGAGCCGTCTTGGGGCGGCATGAGAACTTCTTGGAGGCATGTTAGCAGCTATGCCGAGCCATTTGGGCTATACTGTGCGACGTTGGAGGCCATCTTAGGCCATATGGGAGCCATCTTGGACGCTCTAACCCCTTGCGTGGGGAGGGTTTCAGACTCAGCGAGAGGAGGTAGGGGAAGGAGGTTGTAAAACCTAACTCCCTAAGCTACCTACGCTCCGAGGGCTGTTGGGATTCCCCATTTCCCTCCTCTCCCCTCCATTCTCCCCTTGCCCCCCTCCTCCCCTCCAGCTTCTCCCCCTGCCGAACAGTTCCCCCCCCGTCATCCCCTGCTCTACCTTCCCTTGCCTCTCCCCCTCTCCCCTCTCTCCCCCTTGCTGCCGCCCGCGGGCCCTGCGGCGGCCGGCGCTGCACCCCTCCCCGCCACGCGCTAGACTCGGACATGCGCCCGTGGACGAGCGCGATCGAGAGGGAGATGCGACGGCGAGGCCCTCCGAGGGTGGGGGCGCGCGCGGGGCGGCGAAGCCGCGGACCCGCGCGCCGCAGCAAGATGATGATGAGGACGAGGCGTTCCTGCGCGGGGGTGACGCAGCTGCGCCGCATGAGAGCAAGGTGGGGCGGGATCCCACCCTGGGGGATCCATGAGAATCTCAGCCGGCGCCCCGTGAGAAGGGATCCCAGTTTGGAGGGCCCCCTGAGGAGGATCCACGTGGCAATCCGAGCCACGCCCGATGCTGAGCATTGTGTCTGTGAGGCGTGTCGTTGTTCATTTTCGGCGCAGGTAGTCGTCTTTGCTGTTTCACACTGTCCTCGCTTCATTTGCCACTAATCAGGCGAACTGCTCTTCGAGTTGCCTGGCCGGATTGGCAGTCAGGAATCCCAGCAGGGGCTTTATCAGAATCTCAAGGGGAGAGCCCCAAGAGGAGGATCCCAATTGGGGGACCCCGCTTTCTCCTGTCCGCTTCGCAAGGGAGGCCCTCCCGAAGGGCCCCAAATATTGGCTTTACGGGTGGAGCCAGTTTCTGTCGCTTTCCAGGGCTGTTCAGCGGCACAGCGCGAGGCGTGGCTCGCCTCCTCGCTTTCCTTGGGGGCGGGCGAGACGAATCTCTCCTGTTCCGTCCTTCGTCAGGCGTTCCGCCCGACGCTCCGACCAACAGTGGCTCGCGCCCGACGTGAATGGGATGCGGCGTTCGCTCCCGGGGAGGAGCAGGAGGCGATTGAGGATTTTCCGCCCCCATTCTTTTCGAGGCCGCGGGTCGGGGGGGGAAGAAGTCAAGGGGGGCTGTGACTCCGCTCCGCGGGCGAGTGCCTTCGGGCAACGCCAGGGTTGCTCATGAGGGTGAGGAGGAGGAGGAGGAGGAGGAGGAGGAGGAGGAGGAGGAGGAGAGGGAGGAGGAGGGGGAGGAGGAGGAGGAGGAGGAGGAGGAGCCCCAGCGTGGACACGGACCAAGACGACCTTGAACATATACTTCGGCGAACCCCTCTACTCCACCAGCGTGCTTGAGGAGAATTGGGTATATCCGCTAGACGAATACACTGTCAAATATTTCGCCTTTTGGGATCCAGACGTGATTGAGGTTGGCGAAGCTACACATAACAATTTCGACACTGGATCCGAATGGGTTGGGCTTTTTCGCGGTGCAGACGGACTCCTTCTACCAGATGCATCCTTACCTGTTCACGGGCGACCTGCCAGAGTTCTACTTTGCGAATTTCTCCTGGACCGGTGCTCCACCTGACCCGCACATCGGCCACCTGACCTACGTGGACATTTACAGAACTTCAAGTCGGAACGCACCGATCGCTGCCAGTTTTGTTGGGTCATGGCAGCCTGCTGTGACTGGCTACTTCGACGTGGACGGAATCTGGCGGTGGCTTTGGGAGTGGGCCCAGGGGTGTCCAGCAGGCGTGCTGGTCCGTAATGGACCACGCCTTCAGGCTACCTGGGCCCTGGGGGTGTTCCGCCCCGTGTTGGTGTGTCGGACCAAAGCTGTCTCAGCACCTTGTTCCTCACACGCTTGGCCGTAGGGGCCCATGTGAGAGAGGCAGCGATGGTTGCTGCACCGAGCCGAACCAGGAGCATTTCGCCGCAAGTTCTGCCGTCTCAGGAGAGACACGTTGTCATGCCCGCCCTAAGGGCGTTGCCTTCACGGAAACACGTGTAATCAACGATGTGAGCTTGAGCATCTTTGTTGGAGGGGTGGAAGGAGTACCTGAAAGCCCTCGACACTGATCTCCTGATCTCGATCGGGTCGCAATGGGCACTTCTTCGTGGGCAGCTTCCGGGAGGATTCGAATACCTTTCCAGACTCTACCCTGACAGACTTCTGCCTCTGCGCCGACACCGTGAACCACAGCAGGAAGAGCCACGAGGGTCCCGTGTACAGCGCAGGGCCATACTTGCAGAGGAGTTTTCGGTGATCACGGTCAACGTCAATTCGTGGTCGCGTACGGGCAGAAACAGTGCCCAAAGAACTCTCGAGCCTAGGTGAGGTCATCTTGGTCCAAGAACATCGTTTGCTCCCACACCAGTTTGCAGAGACCCAAGACCAGCTCCAGCACAAAATATGGATAGTCTTCGGAACGCCAGCAACGGTTTTGCCTAGTGAGGCAGCTTCTGGAGGCTGCATGATCCTCGTGAAACCTCACCTGGAAGCCCTGGAGCCACTGCCCAGAAATCATACCAGGGAGACTTTGCGGGTGTTTCCTTCAACGTGCTGGTCTGGGCCTCTTGGGAATCTATGCGGGGTACTTCTGCGACACCGAAGATATGTCACCACGGAAGATCTGGGATCTTGGACAAGTTTGGGGAACAAGTGGCTTCAAGGGGTTTTCCGTTCATCCTGGGGGCCGACTTCAACGTGACGCCCGAAATTATATCGTTGGGGTCCCCGCTGCGCTGCCTGAAAGGGCTCGCGCGGGCCCCTGCCAATGCCCCAATGTTCACTGCTACTTTAGGGGGGACAGCCATCGAGAGCACCGTCGACTCCTTCGCGGTGCGCAGGGGCCTGGACGCCATGCCCCCTGAGGCGGCTACTAATCTTGACATGTCATCAACCCACGCCGTCCTGATGTTGCTGAGTTCCAAGGGCGGTCTGGACAAGGAGCTCTTCTGGTTCCGAAGAAATGCCAGAAGATCCCAACGACCCCGCTCCTCGGGCCTGCCCAGGAATCGCCGGGATACGAAGAGGTCGGGCTGCCCCGCAAGACTTCTTCGACCAGATAGGGGGCGCCGAGGCCGAGCGCCACGGTCTGTCAGGCGGGCAGAGAGCACAAGCCATAGAAGTGTTCAACCAGTCGTTCGAGAATTGTAATGCCAAGGCTCGGGGCGAGCTCAAGGCCCGGGCGGGGGCCATGGGCGAGGGATTGACAGGGGGTGCGCCGCTGCAGTGGGAAAAGAACAAAGTTGCCGACATCCTCGCGACGAAATCTGTTGCCTGCCCGCAGCCCCCGAGAGCCCCCGGCCGGGCCCCGGCGCGCCTCGAGGGCTTTCGGGCTATGTTTTTCCAAGGGAGAGGGACAGAGCAACAATCGGTACTTGCACAATATGCTTTCTCTGGCTGCAAAGCTGAATGAAGTCGGAGGGCCCTTTCGGACAGCAAGGAACAATGGCGTCTCCTGGCGCCCGCTTTTTCCCGCCGCGGGCGCGATCCCCCTGGGGGGCCAGACCAGGCCATCGTCCTTCTAGATGGCACGATCATCTTCGCAGATGCTTTCAAGTGCAAGATCCACTTGTCGGGCGGCCAGCTTGATGGGGGAGGTTGGGAAGACTGCTGCCATGAAGCCGTCGAGGCCAAGGGCTCCAAGTGGGCCCGCAAGCGCCTCGAGGGAGATCCGAGGGCCGCGCCCTGCCCCGGCTCGGGGGGGGGAGTTATCGGACGAACAAATCAACGGGATGTTCCGTTCGATTTCGGTCGAGGCAAGACTGGCGCGCCAGAGGCAACCCCGGGGCGCTGCGCGGGCGGGTTCCGGCGCGGAGGCAGATTTTCAACGCGTTTGCCCTGGGGGGGCCCCGGTGGGCAGCAGACCGAAATCCGATTCTATCAGAAGTTTTCCAAGGGTTTCAATGACAGCGCACGCGCTCCTGACGGCTGGCACCTTAGGCGCCTCTCGCTACTCACCGGTGGCTCGCGCAATGTGGTGCCCCTCCTCTTCCAGTTGACGAAGATGACATCCTGCGCCCCGCGCGCGATTTCCAGGTGGTGGTCCTGCTGGCGCCCGAGCCAGAACCGTTTGCGAAGCGTCCATTGGGCCGCTAGTCGGCCGTTGTCAGAGTCTATGGGGAATTCCAAAAACCAGAAGCTAGGGAATGGGAACTACATCGCGGAAGGGAAGGCCCCTGCTCCATGGCCCCGAAGAGATCTCCCTCATATACTCTTTGGCGCCGGAGTGTTTGGGCTGAAAGAGCAGGGGACACACAGGGGGTATCAGTCCAACTCCTGTAGGACATTACGCAACTTCACCAACGCGCTGACAACAACTTGCTGGTTCGCGCGGGGCAATGGTGTGAATGTCCAGCGCGTCTTCTGTTTTTCGCCACCGGCGCATGCGCGTGGCCGCGATGCCCGCCCCTGAACGGGTTGATCGGCCAGGCGCGCTACCCGGGGAGAGGCATCGCGGCCAGCTCCACCCCGGCGATCTACGAGGCGAAAGTTTTCCTGGAGCCATGCGTCGAGTCGTTGAACGCCAGAATCAACGACGCCGCGGGGCTATCCTTACGGGCCGATGATTCGACTCTGCTACTGTGGGGGGCCTCGCGCCCTTGGATGGTCAACGGCCTGAAGCACATTGCCCAGACGGCGCGCAGGTACTTCGCCCTGTCCCTAGAGCCCCCGCTGTCCCACAAAAAGTTCGCCACGACGGCCTCTTCGGGCCCGCTTCTCCGACTAGCCCCGCAGGAGCTAGGAGTATCTAGAGGTTTGGAGGACCATGGGCATGATGGAGCTGCACCCAACTTGGGAGTGGATTCTCTCGGAGGCCGACGCAAAGGGCATCCTGGGGGGAGAAACTGGTGCCAGCGATCCGCGGGACCCGTGTCTGATGCTGCGCGTTGGCTGGGAATTGCCCACTGGGAAGTGATCGGGCCAGGGGTCCTGATTGGCCGACCTGGAGCCCAACTGAACCTGACTGAGGTGCCCCCTACCACTGTTAAACAGCGATTTACTGCCCAGCTGAAAGATTTGCATGCCAAGGCCCACGCGTTCCAGGTTGTCGCCAAAAAGCCCGAATGACACCGGGGGCCTCGGGTCCCAGGGGCTTTGGGGAATACCTCCGCAAGTTCTAGCCTCTCGGAAAACTGATTTGAGCAGCCTAGACAACATGCTGTTTAATCAATTTGTCTGAGGGGCTGCGCCATCCAATGCCTCCCTCGCCGTTTTTGTTTCTTTGCGGTGTGATTGACACTGCGTGGCGCAGGGTTTGGCAGCGCCCGCGCCCCGAAGCCGCCCTGGTGCGAGAGGGGGCTTTCCCTTCGGCGATGGTCGAACAA